GATTTTACTATCTTCTCAGTAGAGAATGTTACCTGTGCTTTCTCCTTTAACTGTGCCCCTTGCACACATATACTTCTCCCCTCTCCATTCCCATTTTCCATCTGTCTTCTGGCCTAATAGCTTCCCTCCCTCCTTCCCTCTCTTCCTTCTCTCTCAAGAAATATTTAGGACATGGAATATAATGGATGCATACTATTATAACTCCTTAAAGGTAAGCATTTTAAAAACCTCTATTTCAGAGAAAAATCTTTCATCTTTTATTTATATAGCTGAAAGGCCATGGGATGGTGGTCTTAATAAGGTCAGTTTTTAAATCTCACTTAAGACAGATATTTCCAACCACTGAAGGGGAATTCTGTCTTCTTCAAAAATCTGTATATTTAAGCTGATAGACAGTGACTGCGATGGTGGGGGGTGAGGACCTGATAGTGTGGGTCAATATTGAAACCACAATGCCGCTCATGTGAAACCTTCCTAAGATAGTATATCAACAATACTTTAGTAAAAAAAATCTGTGTCTTTAGAGAGCTTTGATAAAACTAGCTTCAGGGCAAAGGATCTGGCCATATTTAGACACTTCTGATTTCTCTTACTCCAAATGCCAAAGACACATTTTCCTAGCTGGGTAACCTTGGACAAATTACTTGTCCTTTCCATGCCTCAATTTACTCACATGTAAAATGGGAATAGCAGTATTTACCTCAAAGGGTTGTTACAAAGATTAAAAGAGCTAAAAGTGCTTGGAAACATATTTGAAAAAAAATACTGCCAGTTAAATATTCACCACAGAGATATATTGAGGCAAGTGTCCTATTCTTGGGAAGCTGAGGAACATACATGTAATTATGTATGTAAAAAAATGTAACAAATTGCATCAGATGAGAAAAGCAATTGCATATATCTTAAATGCTAAAATATGGCAATATTCCTTAAGTAGAAAGTTTTCTATTGTTGGAGATTGTGGGGGGACTTTTTGCTACTTATTCAGAATCCATTTTCTCTCTTTCCAACACCCTTCCTAGGAAAATCCAGTTTCATTCAGGTGTTTGCCCTATAAAAAGCCACATGTGTCATGAGAAGGTGAACCTATCCCCAAATCTAGGGAAGGGACCCTGATTTGACAACACAAATCATGACAGCCACACTTCTTTCTCTTGCTAGTACCTGGTTCAGAAATGGGCATGTGAACCAAGTCTGGCCAATACCATGTGAGAAGGAGTCTTCTGGGGACCCAGCGAAGGTTTCTCACTCTAAGAAAGAGTCAGAAAGTGAGATGGTTTTCCTTCTTGCTCTTAATGATGTTGTATCTGAATGTAGTGCCTGGCCATCACTTGGCCGGAAAGGAGCTGGCCTGAGAGCACAGCTGGCCCTCTTTCAATGGCAGTGCCAAGAGACAGAATGAACCTGGGTCCCTAAAAGCCTGGCTGTGTGGTGGAGGGCACTTCACTTAGAGCCTGCCAACCTCTGGACTTCTTGTTATGTGAAGCAACACATTTATTTATTAATTCAGTTTGAAACTGCTATTAGCTAAATATTTATACCCATCCCTAATGCACCCCATCAAATTCGTATGTGGAAACCCTAATACCCCACATGATGATGATGATATGAGGAGATGGGGCCTTTGGGAGGTGACTAGGTCATGAGGGAGTATGCGATCAGTACCCATTTAAAGATGCCCAGCAGAGATTCCCTCGCCCCTCCCACCATGTGAGAATACACCCAGAAGTCCTCAGCCTGAACCCCAGAAGATCTTCACCAGAACCCAATCAGCTTGCACCTTGATTTGGCTGTTTAACCTCCAGAACTGTAAGAAGTAAATCTCTGTTGTTTATAAGCCACCCAGTCTGTGGTATTTTGTTATAACAGCCCTAGTGGACTAAGAGAGAGTCTGTATTTTCTATTACATGCTGTTACAAAGCATCCAGACTGATAAAATGTCCTTTTAAAACAGACATTAAGGAGTAAGTTATTAAGCATATGCTGTTCTCCTTTAAGAAACTGCATCATGGAGACTAATATAATAACATTCCCCCTTTTCTTTTTTAAGGTGTCAAAACCCAAGGATTATGTTTGAATGTCACAATTCAACCAATTATTTTCATTGCCAAGCCCTGTACAATCTAAAAATATTCCTATGGGACTTTTCCAAAGCCACGTTGTACAGCAAAGGTTTCCATTTAAAGTATAGGTTTCTTCCCAATGGCACACACTAAACTGAAGGAAGGGTGGCTGTTCAAAATGCAAGAGTACAAAATTCTCAACCCTATAAAGGACCAAAATGAACAAAAAGATGCAAAAACAGCATTGCAACTATTAGTACTTAAAAGTAGGAAGAGGTCCAAGTTTATTTCACAAACTAAGAAATATTAGCCAGGAAAAATATAATTTAGGTCAAACTCAAAGCACACCAGAAATCAACACCCAACTCCTGTTTTAATTTAAGAGTAAAGCAGAATGGCAGGGAGTAAATGCAGGTATTTCTGAAAAGTCTTCTGATCTCTGATTCAGATCTCCTCTCACGGAGAATAGATATGCCAGCAGAATGTAAGCTCCTTCAGGGCAAGGATTTTTGCCTATGTTGCTAACTACCGTATCTGAACATTTACAATAATATTCAGTGAATGCTCATTGAATTAGTAAGTACATGTTTTGTAATCCTGGTGGAATTTGGCCCCTGTGTAGGGGTGTGAACAAGTTTAGAAAGAATAGATGTGGTTTTCTCCACAAATCACTCACACAGCAAAAAAGCAGAAGAGTTGATATGTTTCAAACTAATATATATATAAATATAAAAAATATATATATATATAAAATGATAAAAATATATATGTTATATAACATAAATATATATGTTTAACAAACTCAGAGAACTTGGGTATATATGACTTCTTCCTAAGAGAGATGTTACATGGCCCTTCTGTAACATGTCCCTTAGAAAGAAGTCATATTTTCTTTAGAAAGAAGCTCCTCTTTTTAAGGGCCATGTAACATAGTTCTAAAAGTTATGATGTGGGGGAGAGGACAGGAGATTTTTGAGAAAGACTGTTGCCTGATAAAAGACAAACAAGTGAGACCTTTCTTGTACCATGCTGTTTCTTTCTTCTTGCACTGAATATTGTGGTGGTGTGAGGATGCATTGTTTGGTGCTCTGGTAGCCATTCTGTGATCACAGGATGACACATGTAGGAAAAGGACCAATATGCTAAGGATGGCAGAGTGAACAGAAAGAGCTGGGTCTTTAATGATAGCATTGGGCTGCCGTACTACACCTGAGAGCACTTCTCCTCTGACTTTTCTATGTGAGGTTAGTAACTGTTTTTATGGTTTAAGTCATAATTGATCAGGATTTCTACAGCCAAAATCATCCAGTACTGATTAACTTCAACTTTTAATATGTTTCAGAAGAGTCAGGAGGTATTGTTCCATTATCATACAGTACCTCTCATTCAGGGCAAGAAATTTGTGAAAGAAACCTGCAATTAATGAGGCAAGAAAGAAGTAAAAGCCTAAAATAAGGCTATGCCAATGAATAACCAGGATTATAAAAGAAGCAGACATACAAGAAACACTTCAGAGATGAACTAAACAGAACCTGGGAACTAGATTCAGGAAGGTTAAGATTATGGGGTGGATAAAAATGACTTTGTTATTCCTTGTGTCTAGGACTAGGAGGAAAGCTGCCCTCTTAGCTGTGATAAGATGAATATTAGGAATAGAAGCAGGGGTAGGGGGAAATGTGATCACATTATCTACTCTGGGGTTTCTTCTCATGGGATGTGTCAATGAGAAGACAGATATCCAGCAAGGTATTGGGAAATTTGATCTGACGTTCAGAAGCAAGATTAGTATTTCAGCTGCAAATACGTGAATGCAAGAATGCAAATATGTGAAGCTACTAGCAGTTTAACAACCAGCTTGCAAAATTTCTAAAAATGTTAGTTAGAAGCCAGTAAAAGCTAGCTCTAAAACAACTCATGAAGGGAATACTCACTATTATTGGAACTGGAGATACACATATGAATTCATTATATATATGTATATGCACATGCATATTCTCTATGTATGTGTATTCTACACAATTCTACATACATGTTCAATAATATATAAAAAATATAATACATATAAAATATAATTCATATACTGTATATAATAGCACATATATGTATAATATAGCATATACATATATAAAGATGCATATACATATAGTTGTATATGTGTGTATATATAAATACATATACATTTATCCCCAGTTCTTTCCTCTGAGGGCCTGGGAACAGCAATACCCCAATAGAATGAGTCTACTTAGTGGTTCAGTAAATTGGAACCAGGAATGAATGCTTTGAGAAATGACTGATTAAATGGCTTGGGTAAGAAAAGTAGAAGATGAGACTGATACATCCTTCTGAGCTATAGAGTAATGCAATGTTCAAAGAATGAAAGGGATATGTGAAAATGACACTGAGGCCAAGTCAAAGAGACACCAAATGGTCAATCCTGGGACCATTTCAATACCAAAAAGAAAAAAAAAAGACAACATATTACAACCCATTAAGTAAAAGAGGGAACTATAAGTTAGATTCTAATATGGGTAAATAAACAAATTAAATAGAACCAAACAGAACTGAAGTTACCATACTGATAAAGCGATCAAAATGAACATTTCTAGTAATGGATAAATTGAAACCATGAACCACTTCATAGGATACAATGAGAAGTATACACTGTTACATTTATTTCTGTACAGGAGAAATTAGCCCAAATACAGTCATGAGGAAACTTCAGAAAAATTCAGCTTACAAAAATAAATGGCCAACAAACTTCAAGATTATGAAGGTGATAAAAGTCAAGGGAAGACTGAAGAACTGCTCCAGACCACAGGCAAGTAATGAGGCAGAAAAACCAAACGCAGGGTCATCTCGTGTGGACTCTTTTGCTATAAAGATGTAGGTGAACACTCAGTGAAACTTGAATGGGGATCTGATCTAATGGGGATTAGAGAGTAGTAATTCATTATTTTGAATTTCTTGATTACTATGGCTGTGCTGTCAATCTGAAGAATGTTTTTGCTTATAGGAAACATATGCCAAAGTATTCCAGTATGATAGGATATTCTGTTCACAAAAAAATTCTCAAATAGTTCAGGAAAAAAGTTCTTTGTACTGTATTTGCAACAGTTATTTATATAAATTTGAAATTGTCTTAAAATATATGCTGGTGTGTCCTGTGTGCCCAGTTGTTGTAACTCAACTGTAAGACACTAAATTAGGTTTATAAGTTGCTACTTCAATGTACATAATATTTTTTTTAGCTTAATGAAAGTATTCTTCACATAACATTTTCAATCATCCTAGTTAATCCACATTCCTCATTATATTTATTCTTATACCAGCCATCAAAAGCAGCTTGGAAATTACCTACCCTAATGTTTGCACAGAGAAAATGAAGCAGGAGAGTTCAGTAACAAACATTCACTAATAGACAATTAACTGTTGAATATCTATGTCACACAAGACACCACATGAAGTGCCATCACAGGTATCTCAGAGTTGTCAGCAACAAAGGTGGACCAGAATTTCAGGTCATCTGATATTCATCCTGTGTTTCTGAACTACTTGTTGGCCCACACAGGTTTCCCATCAGCTGCCAACTTCATTCAGGGGATAGTGGCTACCTGGAGCTCCGTGTTGAGAAGAGTGAAAGCTCCTCAGGGATGAGTACTTTAGCTGGTGGTCGGTATCTGCTGGGGGTTGGGAGGGGAGCTGAACACAGGCTGGTTTTCTTTGACAGCATTTTGAATGCAAAATGTTGTCTTCCTAAAGATTAAACGTAACCTCAGGGGAATATAATGCAAATGATGGGACCTCATCCCAGATTTGAAGTCAGCAGTAAATGATAATTATATTATTAACCATTTTTTTGCATGTCTGTTGTATGCCAATCACACTACTAGGCACTGAGGAGGAAAGAAAGAAACAGCCCTTGCTCCTGAGTTCAAAACAGTTGGAGTGGAGAAATGACATGTCAAGGATAAACACAGGACCCTGGAGAACAGAGCAACTTCTACCAAAGTGGTCAAGGCACTGGGTCACTTAAAACCTGTGTCTTAAATGTGAAGAGTTTGTCAGTTGAAGGGAGAGGAGAGAGCATTCCAAGTGGAGGGAAGAATATGCTAAATGCAAAGTTGTGCAAAAGTTTGGTATGTCAAGGGAATTTTGGTATGGCACAAGTACAGAGAGAGAGTATGTGTGTGTCTACTCATGTGAGTGTGACATACAAGGAAAGAGGGAGAGGAGATGAAGTTGAAAAAGTAGGTGGAGATCAGATTGTGAAAGAATTTACTGCTTAAAAATTTTTAATTTTATTCTGAAGTTAATGGGGAGCTGGCAGGGGGATTGTTAGGTAGCGGAGCAGGCCGCTAACTGACAGCATGCTAGGGAGGAGCAGAGGCAGGGAGACCCACCAACAGGCTGATGAGACCAGAACTAAGACAATGATGATGAGGATGAGCCTCTTTCCATGTGCCTGTTGGCCATCTGTATGTCTTCTTTGGAAAAATGTCTATTCGGGCCTTCTGCCCATCTTAAAATCAGATTATTTGGTTTTTGGTGTTGAGTTGTACAAGTTCTTCATATATTTTGGAGATTGGCCCCTTTACTGGGTGTCTCATTTGCAAATATATTCTCCTTTTCAGTAGCCCTCTTTTCCTTCTGTTGATGCTTTCCTGAATTTGTTTGCTGTAGCCCCCACTTGTTTATTTTCACTGCTGTTTCCCTAATGTGGGGAAATATATCCGGAAAAAAATTACTAATGCCAATGTTCAAGAGTTTATTGTCTATGTTTTTTTTTTAAGAATTTTATTGTTTCAGGTCTTATATTTAGGTCTTTAATGCATTTGAGTTTATTTTTTGTGTATGGTGCTTACAGGCCAAAATGGAAAGATGCTTCTTGGATAGAATATTAAAAGGATTTATTAACTGTCATGATAAAAAGATGAAAGAAGGGGAAGAGGAGAGTTTGATGCACAGGCATTATTATGTGGAATAAATGGTATTTAAAACTGATTAGAATAGGAGAAGTAGGCATGGGAATGAACAACAAAAGCAGTTATTCTCAGCTGCTGTGTTGGGTTCTTGATATTTATTTTCATAACAAACCCATTTTACAGGTGAGGAAAAAACAACTTGCAGAGATTAGTTTTTGTTTTTTAAAACTCAAATCACACATTGGTAAGTGTGAAAATCATGCATGGTTTTGAACATATTAAAGGTATAGTAGCTTGTCTGAGAATCAGGAGGGGTGGTGGGGAGCTCCGGCAGAAAGTGCAACACTTGGATGTGCAGCTAGAATGAGAGCTTGAGGCCAGAGGTACAGATATGGAACCAGCAGTATAAAGCCACAGAGGTGGAAGATCACCCAGAGACAGAATAAAAGGGAAAAACAGAACCAGAAGGAGCCTCCACATTAAGAGACTAACAGTGAAGGAGCTATGGAAAAAGACAGAAATACCACAATCTAGAGATACCAGAAAAAACAGACTGGAAGACTCCAGTTTCCAGATCAGGTAATTCAGGGGTTAATCAGAGCGTCAAATCTTCTAAAGATATCAAGTAAGATAAGGACTGAATCAGGTTATGGGATTCAGAAACTAGAACTCTAGTAGAAATGATTAATAATCTTTTTAAACACTCTTAAATCTATAGCATGACTTGAAAATTAGGTTGGGCCTCGTACTACACTGAGGCAGTGAGAGAAACCACTACATTCCTTTAGAAAACAGTAAAAATAGAGCCAAAGGCAGCATGGATATAAAATATCTACAAAGCAAAGGTAATGGCTCTGTATCTAAAATGTTTGAAATTTATGTGAATTTTTAGCTGTGCTTTCTGAACATTACCACTACGCCACTGAAGCACAGTGAAAAAGCATCAGAAACGAGTATTATGTTTTTGCCCTGCTTATGCAGGACTGTGAGTACGTCACCTGACTTTGGATCTCAGTTTCCATATGTGTAAAATTATAATCTCTGAATTCCCTCCAGCAATAAACATTGTTTGGATTCTCTGGCAGAACTCTAAGCCAAAGTTAACCAGTTGCCCTGAAATCTACTTGACATTTCACAGGATAGTTAAGAAACCTAGGGAAAAAAAATGTATTTCAGCTACCATTTGAAATTGATGTTTTTCATCTGCCATTTAAAAATCCTGTTTTTAACTTAAGAGATTTATTGCTGTTGAAGTGAAATCTTTAAAGAGAACCACTTACTTGAGTCTGCCAGTTGCACACTGTGAGCTTTGGTTTTAACACCTCTCTTGGTTTCTGATAGAGAAACCAAGCCCAATACTCAATGCCCAAGAGAAAGACTTCTGTTTCTCACAGGCACCCCCACCCAAATTTTCAATTTCAATACTTTCATTGGCAATGGAAAGCATGCCTAACGTGGCCAAAATTATTACATGAAGTAACTAATATGTCAAGTGTATCTCTAGTTTCTACAGGACAAGACAACAACTGACTAGACAAAATTGGGTTGGGAAGAAAGAGGGAAACAGAAAATGAAAACACAGTGATTTTTAACAAAGTAATACTATGCCCTCAATAGTAGGTAGTGAAACAAGAAGCCAAAACAAAAAAGAAAAACAATTATGAGTTAGTTATAACAAAAAGTGAAGTAACAAGCTATTTTGAAATCACCCCTAAAATGAATTCAAAATAGCATGCAAAAACATCAACCTTTTCTCATCACTTCTTAAAAATAAAACAACCCAGAGGCTCTGTACTACTGGCAAAAACATAAGTTTCTTATGGGCATTTTGCCCAAAATATGATTTCTTCAAAACAGGATGTCCACTATTCATCATAAAACCATTAATTCTATTCCCAATATAAAAATCACATATGGCTTTCACAACCAATCCAAAACAAAAGGCCTACATAAAATCACAAAGGTAATGCCCAGAATAACTTGAGGGGAACACATGGAAAATATGTTTTAAAATAATTTACATTTTTATAGAAGTTCTTTCAGTACTTCAAATGAAATTTCACTCTCATTTTCTAAAATATTAAAAGTACTAGAAAGGAAAGAAGGAAGGCTCTGCAGGGTGATTACCAGAACTTGGGGGAGGGCCATGGGCAATGGCAGCAAACAAGTTGACCAAATGGAATGGTCAATCGGCCAATAAACGGTCTGCCCTGTGACTTCCTCTTAACGAGGAGAAATTAGGGAGGCAATTGTAGGCTAAGGAAAGGGGTCATTTATCCAGACGGTACTGTTTGTTGCTACTTCTCTCCGAGGTGGGAGGACTTCGGACATCCTCAGCCTTGGACCCACCCCTTTTCAGTACCTACTGCTGACATTAGTTCTGGAGGGGCAGAAGCTTCTGCCCTTTCAGACAACAGTTGCAGACACATACCTGCATGGGTGTGGAAGGAAATGTGCAATCTCTAGAGACCACACAAATCTTTAGAACGTTCTCTGGCTTACCTGGAAGAGGGCGGGCATTGTGGGGTAAGCTCCGTAAGAACAGAACAGCTGGGCCATGCTGCGGACCAGCCTCTCCTGCAGTCTGCCATGCCACTCTTAGATCCATTTGAAGATGGAAGTAAAAGACTCCACAGCTTTGTTGTTTTGTTTTGTTTTCCTGCAGCGGGTCCTGCCTGCTTTAGGGAGATTTGGCTTTCTTGGAAAAGTTCCCTGAGTTTTTTCCCATGGGAAACCAGACAGGGCACTGACTGGTATTCAGACTCTCATTGTCCTAGATTTCATTTACAATGCTGATGAGGTTGATTCCCTGAAGAGAAACTGACTCCAAAAATGTAAATAAATTATTGCAAACAGCTGGCATGCCTCCGAAAGCTGAAATGTGATTTGCTTACTGTGTGGAGCACCCTCCCTCCCCACACCCCTGTGATCCATCTCTTCTTTCACTGACCTCAGCTGGTTTCAGGAGGAAGCTAGTCAGGGCTAGGGTAACATCTCCATTCCCGAAAGATGAAAGGCTGTCATCTATTGAATATGTTAAGGAGTATCGGGAAGGGAAGGGATTCAAATGTCTGTGGCTCTGGTGGACACAGGCCCCTCAGTCACCATTCTACTGGTCCCATGGGGGAGGGTATGCCCAAGTTCAACTAATGGGGTTGGGGCAGAGCTCACAGTGGGGAAAGGGAGTTCACATGACCTGGGAGGGGAGCCCTGTGTTGGTTCAGTACTGTTCTGGCTTTCACTGATGAATGTGTAATTGGCATTGCTGTTTTACACACATCATAAGCACCGAAAGCGATTCTCCTGATTGTGAAGAACCAGACGTAGAAGTGCCAATTCGCCCTACATCTTCAGTGACCCCTTTGAGCTCTGCACCTGAAGATGTTGCCAACTGAAGCCTCTGGCAAAGGGACGCGGCCTCCACCTGGAGGTGCCTCTTTGGGTTTGGATTCATTGCTTCCTCAACACAGCCACATCCTAGGACGACCGGGTGCAATGCCTCAAACCGAGTGAGAAGGTCAACACGGAGACTTAAGGGAAGGACAGCTGGCCTCACAGGGTGCACCCTTAATGGTCCACGGGATTTGTTCAGGATGGGGCCAGGGCCTTGCAGGACACAGCTGTCAGTACTGCATGCCTGCCTCACTCTGGTGCTTGGAGTCCTGGTCATAGCCGTCTTACTTCAGTGCTGTATGAAAAATATTGAACTGATTAGGACTCAGCTCAATGGCAGAATTTAGTAAACATGACAGAGAACACAAGCATGGGTCTGCCTCTTACCCTCCTTGTAGGAAAATGCTTAGGCTATACCTTCCCTTCAGAGGAGTTTTTATTTATCTGTATTCCCACAAAATCATATTTCTAAAGAGTGAAGTGGAAAGCATACATGAGAGCACATTTGTTCTCTGTAAATATTATTCTAGCTCGTCATGTGCTATAATCACTTAAAGTCTTGTGAACCAGTTGTCTTTATGTATCATATAATCTGAATTTCCTTGAAATGTTTGCATGGCTTTAGTGATTCTGTTTCCTTATCCTGTATCAAAAAGTCCCTTTTACATGATAAGGATTTTTTTGTTTAAGTATATCCTGGCTAAATGACATCTGGACATTTTCTTTTAAAGTACTGCAAATTCTGAAGTCAAATTACCAGTCTGGTTTATGGTTTATTCTCAGTTCATTCTGTTACACGTTAATTGAAATATTCAACTTCGCATTTCTATCTTCGATATGCTATCAATAAACATTTTACTTCACTTTAAGTATTATCAAAACTCGATTATAAAAATTTAAACAGAAGAAATAATAGTAAAATGTGGAAGTCTCCCTTCACTCACATCCAGAATTTCTCTCTCCTCGCAAAATTCCAGTTTCCCCAACATATAAACATCAAATTTACTGATACTGATTTATGCTTTCTTTTTGTTGCTATTTTCTCTCTCCTATGTAAGAAAGTAGTAAGGCTATTTCAACTCCCTTGCCTTGAGAAATGTTTATTGGGTAAAGCAACGGAAGGGGTTGGGATGGGACATGAGGAGAATGTCTGAATAGTTTCCTTAGGAGGACAAACCTTAAATGCTGGTGTTTCTAGCCTCACCAGTGATTTTTCAGGCTCAAAAGAGACCACATGCATATCCACAAGAGGTATCTCAATGGTAGTAAGAGGTAGATACTGGAGTGCCCAGACCTTGCCTGATCTGGGATGAGGTAGAGGAGCTCATGGTGACTGAGAATGAATATCCTATAAGCTCAATGGGTAGGGGACCAAAATTAGATTAAAGATTATCTATACAAAATGTTTAGATGTATCTTCCATGCATAGATCAGTTTGTGGAGAAAGGTTTATAACCATTACATGCACGTATCCTTCCATCGCTGGTAATATCTTAAATTTGTTTAACTTTACGTTTCATTAAAGGCTTTTACATATGCTATGTAACTTGATCCTCATGCAACAATTTCACAAGAATATACTGAAGCAGAGGCTGAGATTTGTCCCAGAATATATGATTATTGATAGGACAAGTATTCATTAAAAAAAATCTGGATTTCTTTCTCTTATACTGTATTTGGGATGTATACACTCAACACTTACAGGCCTGACACATTCGTCTGTGACATGTACATATGGCACCCTTAGGGCAAAGTGCAGCTATAAAGGTTTTAAACATGGCTGATACCATGTTTATTCATGACAAGACATTTAAAATTCAAGTTGAAGGCCATTAAAAGCTTAAAATAATTAAAACACTCCACGAATTGAGTCTTCTTTGAGGGGGCTTTGGATTTTTATTAAATTCTCAGTCTGTCTTTCTTCCTCCCTTCCTCCCTCTCCAAATTTAGTTTATAACTTAAAAAAAGGGCAGAATGAAAGCACTTCTGCTTATGACCAAGGTGACTGAGATGGAGTAACAGAGACCAGATTTATTTTTTTTGCCATGAAACAACTAAAAAGCTGGATCACGTATATGTTTTCAGATACTGGATGTTAGCAACACAGGACAGTCCCTGAAGGAGAAACAAATGAGGTGAATTCTACACATGTCCGGCTTACTGTCTGAAGACAGTTCCCAGGCTGCAGGCTCCGATGAGCCCAGTGAGGAGACAGAGCTGGGAGTCTAGGGAGGCCAGGGAGCTGGGAGTTCACAGAACAGGGTGAGAGAGCTGCACAGGGAAAGCTAGAGGTCTGCAAAGGGCCCCCCTCAACTCTTTAGTGGGGGTACCAATCATCAGATGATTGGGGGGAAAGTAGGAACCCCCCAAAAGCACAGAAGGAACAGTCACGGGCACAGAGATGGCTGGGAAGAAGTCTGTGTGCCCACTAGCTAGAGTGTAAAACCTCACAGTTCAGCAAGTATCAGCTAGACTGCTAAAATGTATTTTTTGAGTAGTGGGGCAAAATTAGTACCAGAGTAAGCACTTCTCTGGTACCCCCAAAAAAAGCTTAAGAGGAAGCCCAAATGGATCATACACTTTCTAAGAGCTTATCAAGTAATTTCACTGACTTCCATGGCAAAGCTCATGACTATTTATAGGAATGCAAATGGGTCCAGCACTGTTCTCAACAAGGTAGAATTATCAATGCTTAGAATACAATAAAAAATTACTGGGCATACAAAGGAAGCAAGAAGATATCTCTGATAGAAAGAAAAAGTGATCAATGGACACAAACTAAAAAATGACAGATGACAGATTCAATAAATAAGGATATTAAAATTGCTTTTAACACTATACTTAATATATCCAAGAAAGTAGCATAAGACTAAATATAAAAATGCAATAAATAAAACTTCTAGGGATGGGCAGCATCTGACATAAACAAAAGGGATGAGATGAATGACAAATTAAACACTGTAGAAGAAAAGATCAATGATTTTGGAAACATAGCAATAGAAACTATACAAAATGAAATTCAGAGTAAAAAAGAATGAAAAGAAGAAAAAACAACTAAGCACCAGTAAGCTGTGAAACAACTTCAAACAGTCTAATATAACTGAAGTCTCACAAAAAAGGGAAAGGGGAGAGGCAAACATTTGAAAATGCAATGGCCAAAATGTCTCTAAATTTCATGAACACTATAAACCCACAGATCTAAGAGGCAGAAACTGTCAACAAATTCCAAGCACAAGGAAAATGGAGAAAACAAAACCAAAGCACATCATATTCAAACTGCTTAACACTAAAGATAAAGAACATAAAATTACCAAGAGGAAAAAGTATTAGAAAAACAGTAGAAAAAATACAAACTAGAAGACAACAGTGTAAGATCTGTAATGAAAGAAAAAAACGTCTGTCAACTTAGAATTCTAAACATCTTTAAAAAATGAAGGCAAAATAAGACTTTTTCAGACATACTCAGTGAAAGAATTTAATAACAGCAGACGTGCACTATTATAAATGTTAAAATTATTTCAGGCACAAGGAAAATGCTACCATGGAATGAAAATGATTCACATGGAAATGTGAAACTGCATTAAGGAATGAAGAACACTGAAAGATGTAAATATATGGGCAAATATAAGAGATGTTAAAAGGTGTTAAATCTCTTTGAAGGACAATTTAGCACCCAGCCATGATGTAATCATGGGTTCTGGATTTATTTTTCAACTGAAATAACCAAAACCGATTGGTAAAATAGTGGAAACAATGTTTTTCAGAGCACTGGACATTGGGCAATGAAGGGCAGAGATCTCTGGGAGAAGGAAAGGCAACAAGGCAGAGGGCAGTTCTGACTGCCCTAACCTACTGCCATGAGAGAGTTCCCAGGCTACAGGGCTGGGTGGGGTAACCCATGGAAAGCCCCAGGGGAATCCCTGTGTTGAAAAGCAGAGCTAAGAGTCTGAGCAGATCAAGTTGGCTAGAGTTTGCAGGACAGAATACTAGAGAAGAGTGAGCTGCCCAGAAAGAGAACTCCAGGGATAAAGAGATGGTCTACCTGTGGTATTCAGCAGAGTATTGATCTAACTACTTATGTGTGAGTAAACTAGCTGAGGCCACAGAAAAGAACCACATAAAATGATTTAGAGGGAGCCCCAAGGATAAGGAACATGTATATACCAATATATACACCATAATCAAATTGCCCAAGATCAGTGAAAAAGAAAAACTCTTAAAAATGGCAAGAGTAGATAAAAGAGGTGAAGTGGGGGGAAATTAGTGAGAATGTTTGCTATCTTAATCTGGGTGATGGTTCCATGAGTGTATATACATGTCAAAATTCACTGAGCTGTCACTAAGACTTGTGTACTTTATACTGTACATACCTAAAAAAAATGTCAGGAGAAAAAAGACATATTAGATATAGAAAAACAAACAGAGGAAAGATAGACTGATTGTCTGAAATAATTATAGGAGGAAAAAATGTTTATCCAGAATTCCAAATCCAGTGCAAGTATCTTTCAAAAACAAATGCAAAACATAGGCTTCTTTAGACACACAAGCAGTAAGAATTCACAGGCAGCAGATTTATTCTAGAAGAATTGTTAAATGATGTCCTTCAGCAGAATGAAAATGATACTGGAAAAAAATACAGATTTATACAAAAAACTGAAGGACATCAGAAATGGTAACTATGGTAACTATGTGTGCAGACATATAAGATTTTTTCTTTATTATTTAAATTGCTTTAAAGGAAAATTTACTTTATATAAAGGTAATAGTAAAATACTGTGAGGTTTAGGGTACATGTTAACAGTCTATAAGTAAAATGACAAACATAGCACAAAGGTCAGGATGGAAAAAACAAGAGTTCTTTTGAAGTGGTATAATGAACTTGCAGGTAGACTGTGATAAGATAAAGAGGGACAGTATAAAGAATTCTTCAAACTCAGTTTCACTGGAGAATTCCATCAAACATCTAAAGAAAAATTAATACCAATCGTATGCAATTTCTTGAAGGAAACAGAAGAGGAGAAAGCACTCCCCAATGCATTTTATGAGGCCAGTATTATTACTCTAATATCAAAACCTGACAACAGTATAAAATAAACAGACAAAACTATAGGCCAATATCCTTCATGAATAGACACAACATCCTTAACAAAGTAATAACGTATAATTCTCAGCAATGTATACAAAGAATTACACAATATGACCAAGGGAATTTACTTCAGGAATGCATAGCTGGTCAATATTCAAAATCTGACCACCATTATTAACAGCCTACAGAAGAGAAATCACATAGTTATA